CAGCGGGGCGGCCCCAGGGCGCAGTTCAGACACCTCGGTGAGGGGCACAGCAGAGCGGAGGATCAGGGGACAGCGGGGCGGCCCCAGGGCGCAGTTCAGACACCTCGGTGAGGGGCACAGCAGAGCGGAGGATCAGGGGACAGCGGGGTGGCCCCAGGGCGCAGTTCAGACACCCCGCTGAGGGGCTCGGCACAGCAGGGCGACTCGAGGACGCAGTTCAGACACCCGGTGAGGGGCGCGGCACAGCGGGGGACCAGGGCACAGCGGGGCGGCCCCAGGGCGCAGTTCAGACACCCCGCTGAGGGGCTCGGCACAGCAGGGCGACTCGAGGACGCAGTTCAGACACCCCGGTGAGGGGCGCAGCCGCTCGCACACCTACCGTCGCCGCGGTCGGGGAGGACGGCCTCGGCCCAGGGGCTCTCCTCGGCCTGGATGTCCAGCACCCGGTCGATGGATTTCTGGGCCTGCGACAGCGCCTGCTTGGCGAAGCTCGAGAGCTGGGAGGCGTTGAACCAGCTCATGCCCCCGCCCGGCTCGGTCCCGGAGCCCGGGGCCTCCGCGGCCAGGCGGGGAACGCAGCGCGCGGGCCCCTGGATCCGCGGGAGGGTGCGGGGAGCAGCAGCCACGGCAGTAAGGCCCGCACCACCGCCTCCCCCACCCCCAGCCCGAGGGAGGGCCCCGCACGTCGCGCGCCTCCACGTCGCAAACTCGTCAACAAACCCAGCGCAGGCTCACTCGGACCGTCAGCCTGCGGGTGGTCATGTGACTGCTAGCCTTGCCGCCCCCGCCGCCATAGTTACCGCGGCACAACCCTACCTCCCGCAGCTCGCCTGACTTCCGCCTGGGTATGTGTCATGGCGGACGACAAGGTCGCGGCCTCGCTCTCACGCGAGACTTCTCCACTCCTGAGTTTTGGCTCAGTTCCGCCTTGGTCCCTGGCAGGACGAACCACCAACAGCGCCCGCGATGATGGGCTTTGTCTTATAGATGCAATTATTCCCGCCATCTCCGCCACTGGGAAATAAAAAGCGTCCTGATTTTTCACACTGGCTGTCTGGTCACCCTATCTTCCAGGACCTGGCCCCATGTAATGACTGGGCAAGTGCAGATGCAAGGATAGTGGGGGAGCAGTGAGGAGCTCAAGATACCGATCGCACCCTTAGGTGTATTTCTGCCAGCCGCCTTCCTACAGGCGTGATTACTTTCCCTTTCATTTTTTTAAAAAGGGCAAATTTCTAGCACAGATTCTTGGGGGGGGGGGGAGATAGAGAGAGAAGAGAAAGTATCAGAGGGGTAGCCGTGTTACCGTGTCTCGCATCTGAAGAAGTGAGGTTCTTACCCACGAAAGCTTATGCTCCCAATACTTCTGTTAGTCTCAAAGGTGCCACAGGACCCTCTGTTGCTTTTTAGAGAAGAGAAAAATACCTGAACCCAGTGTATGCTACAGGTACAAAATGCCAAAAGGCAATAAAAGAAAAAAAAAAGGCATGTTTTTTGCAGCCTGACTGCTGATTTTTGAATGCTTGGAATTGGCAATACAGCTCCAAAGGGCCAGGAAAATTGAGAGGGGACATTTGATTGTTTTGATCGGGAGTACAGAAAGGATATTTTTTAATATGAGGGCAATCAGCCTTTGTCTATTCACTACAAGAATCATAAAAGCAGGGAAGCTGGGCCTACTCCTTCTTTAGAAAGGTATGTCAATTTTTAGAAAGTGTCAGTTCTAAGAATGACAAGTACTATTGGAAGTAATTTACTCAAATGGCTAAAAATAGTTTTTTCTCTCTTGACTATACCTTGTCAAAACTGGTAAAGATTTATGAATTTTTTTTCATCTAAGTGCCATATTTAAAAGTATTTCAGCCATGTCACTGTTTTCGGTGTGTATGGTCTTCAAATTCTTTCTACTTATACATCTCTAAAAGCTGGGATGGGAGAAAATGTTTTAAGAAGAGAAAGGGAGGTATGTATCATATAAAACAACAGATTTCAGATCCATTTGAGTTAATTTGTGCACAAATGACACACACACTCTCTCACCTTTTGTATCTGTTATGGTAACAGAAACAGCTCTTTTAACTGACAAAGTGATACCACGTAATCTTATGTTTTTGTCTTTCTTATGGTCACATATTGTCCCAAATTCCCATTGACATACTGCAGAACAATTTATCTTTATATTTTTATTAATAAATACCTTGAGAGCATCAATGATAACCAAACATAACTCACCAATCCTGAACATCAGTGGGCTTTTGATTGAACTATTGTGCATAGTAACCGCTAATTCACTGCAAATATAAACATGAAAAATACTTTGTTTTCATGCACAGATGTTCATTTAATTTAATTACATTGTCTTTCCATATTTTGTAAACAAAGTGATTTAACCCTCTGCAATACTTAATATCTGTTTACCAGGTCAATAAAAATGAATATTAAATAAAGGAGGAAACATACAATGCTTATTTTACTCTACTGCCCACAGGTTTTAATATAAGATTCAGCAAATGTATATGGGTTCTAAAATTTAATTTAAAATCATCATGGTTCTCCTTAAAGGATATTCTTTTGTAGATATGGGTGTTCAAATGCAAGCAGAGAACAACTCCTTTGACCACCATAAAATGTCCAAGTGTAGGAAGGAGTGTTGGCATTATTTTAACATCAACACATAAACCGAAAAAAATTATCACTATACATCAAGTTCTGTACATTAATGAGTATTTATACAAATACCATCCACCAAATATTGGCTTCTAAGGACAGTTCTAAAGTAAGAGTGATTCACCTGGGATAATCTAACTTCCAGCAAGGCTAGTACTTAAAAGGGACATTTTAGGTTACTCTGAACATCCACATAGAGCACAACATGTTTTACATGGTGTGCAGAATTCTCTCACTGTATGTGAAGATTAATGAGGCTTAAATTAAGTAGTAAAATGAAGCTTGAACAACATCGTCTGTGGTGTTGTTACATCAGCAACTGCAAGTTCCTGACCATCCACGAGCCCCAACTCTGAAATAGGAAGAAAAAAAAAAAAAAGTTAAGTATGCAATAGATCTATGCTCAAATTAAAAAAAAAAAATTAAAACTGAGTTACAGTTCTACAAAGGCTTAAACAACACTATCAGAATTCAGTTATATGTAATTCATTAGCTATAACAACCTCAGTGTTAATTCAACCAAGAAGATGACTAGCAGAAGATATTTGTCAACAACAAGGAAAATGTAAGTTTCCCAGCATCCTTTGCTGACTCAAATATTTTTTTCTAATGACATCTGCCCAAATAATGAATGCTATTAAAGGAGTTAGTGCTCATCTCCAAAATAATTTTAACGACAAGGCTGACTGTATGAAAAGGAGTTAACCATATTCTACTGCAGGAATTAGTGAGTGAGGAGGTGGGTTATTACCCTCTTACAGGTTTATAGTATCCATGTTTGTGAATTAGAAGAGAATAGAAAATGAAGAGCAGCAGAACAGGAAGAGTGGAGGGAATGTAAGGAAAGGGGGTAACCGAGAAAAATTCTCTACTTCCTCCGTCTTCTGCAATTTAGTTTTTCTTTCCATAGAAGCAGACAGATAACTACATTGAAAATCCTGTTCTGTAGTAGGTAATTCTTACAGTTCCTCCTCCAAAAAAATCCCAATTAGGAGAGAGGAATGGGG